AAAGGCCTATCTTTTTCTGGTAGAATATAAGCATTATAAGAATATATTTGCTAGTCTCTTCCCAGTGCTTAGGGTAGTGCTTTCCACATGACAGGTGTATGCAAATATTTATTGAATCAGTGAATCATCAAGCTGGACCTATCTGTTGTTTAGTAATGGTGATTTTACTAATATTTAACACCCATTATTTGATGTTTTTGCTATAAAACATATATTCCTCTGTGAATGATTTCCTCAATATAGCATATATATATGCGCCAGATTATTAGTTTCTGTCAATTAAAATCAAATGTCCATTTCAGGATGGCTAGTTAGATCTGCTTTATCCTTGCATATGAACTTCACTCAGAAGAGAGAACTTTTAAATCCTAAATCATCTAAGAAATCTCCCCAATTCTTTCATGTCAAGGTTAATAATTAAATATTTAATACGTCTTTAAGCTATTAAGCTAGCAATAAAAATGCAATAGTTTAACCCAATTTACTCCACTAAAGAACAATCCCAGATGTTATTTAACATGAAGAATTGCAGTGATCTGAATTTCATTAAAAATCTGAGAATTTTATATATATTACGTAAAGAAGTTCATTTAACTCTTTTCAGTAAGGGAATGTAATCTTCATTTTTCTAAAAGCATGTTGCTTATCATTAGATGACGAGTATACCTAATATGAATCATTGCCCTTTTTTCCCTGCATGACTGTGTACCCATGGTTGCCAGGTAGTCCGTCATCAACTGAAATTTTAAATGCAAATTCTATTCTTCTTTTGACTGGATTTTTCCTTCCAGTTTTATCTTTCTTTTTTTATTTTAGGAAGATTAGCCCTGAGCTAACATCTGCCCCCAATCCTCGTCTTTTTGCTGAGGAAGTTTGGCCTTGAGCTAACATTTGTGTCCATCTTCCTCTATTTTATATGTGGGACGCCTGCCACAGAATGGCTAGGTAAGCAGTCCTTAGGTCCGCGCCCAGGATCCGAACTGGCAAACCCCGGGCCACCAAAGTGAAACGCTCCAACTTAACTGCTGTGCCACCAGGCCAGCCGCTTCTGCCAGTTTTTATTTACTTATTTTTGTCAAAATGATTATTATCTCAGTGTTAAAAACTAACTTATACAAACAATTTATTTGGAACAATAATTCAGTTCTGAAAATGTATATTTAAATTAATAAATGAAATGGAAAATATTATTCTTTATAACAGCTTTCTTATATTTTGCTAAAGGGATATGCAAGCATGGTAGGTAAAGCTCATGGCAGCAAAGGCCAACGTTTCCTTTACACATATTCCCAAGACCTCCCAGTATCTCTACTCTCATTATAGGCAGAGTTAATATGTCATTTTTATTTAAAAATTTGAATAATAGTATCATCTGATGACCTTAAGATTTAAAGAGAAGAAAATGTTGAAAAATCAGATGTCCTAGATTGAGATTCTACTCTCCTAAAGAACTATTTCCCCCCCTTATATGGTTAACTACCTCCAGAGTATGATTGTTGTTAAAGTGAACACGTGATTTTATTTTCTATTTAGTGTGCACAGAATCAGAGCTGCGATATAGTGTTATAAATGCCTTTGGATCCTAAGACTTGGGTTAGCTGAAACACTAAGACCTTGGCTAAACGATGTTCAATTTTATTGTTAAGCATCTAAAAGTTGTTTACTTTTTGTTTTTAGGTCCACATTTGCTAAAATGTAATTCTTACCTCATGCACCAGGAGCAGTGAATTTCACTAAGAAATTATTGTTCTTTATGGCACGTCAGCCACAGCACAAAGCTGCAAATATTTATTGAGCCCTTGTTTAGTAATCTACTCTGATAGATACTGTGGAGAATTCACATATAAGTAGGAGGGCCCTTTGCTATAGGAAAAATTCAGTCTAATTTAGAGATTAAAATTTACATGGATAATAAAGAAGGGAGGAAAGAGAACATGAGTGATAAATTAGAGAGAATGAAACGGTAAGGAATATTTAGAGGACCATTATATCAATGCATTGCAAACAGGGATTCCTAAAATGGAAGAGAAAAAATATGGCAGAAGGATTTATTGAATTGAGATCATGATTTTGTTTTAAAGCAAAGCTAAGTCTGGATTCTAACTTGTATAAAATTAGGAGCAAAGGAATGAGGTCCTTTCCTAGAATATATTGATCAAATGTATTCACGGATTATATCTCTCAATAGGCCACAAGCCTCCGTGTATGGAGGACACAGGAAGGAGATGATCAGCTGACAGGAAGCCCATTAAAGGAGCTTCAGGCTGTGGACTGGAACAATAACAAAGAGAGGAGTGACCTATATGAGAGGCATTATTAAGGAATGAAACAAGAATCCTCAAATTTAGTGAATACCGTGAAGGGGTAGTCAAACCAAACAAGAGGCCAATATGGTTTTGAGGGTTCATTACTAGGAGATTTGGTTTGCCATTGAAATATTAAAGAAGTCGAAATGAAAAACTGGTTTTTAGGTGGAAGATGGGAAGTTCTTCTTCAGACGTATTGAATTTAAGCTGGTGAAGGCACACTCTAGGCCAATATTTTTTCCATTCCTTGATTTTTAGATTTTGGAATCAGCTATATTCATTTGTATTTGAATATAACTGATGCTTCTCATAAAATTAACAAGGATTGTGCTACAGGCCTACTCAGTTACAACATTAAACAGGTTATTTACTTGATTGGGATGAGTAGTTTGTCAATGGTGTCCAAATTTTCGATCACGTATCTTTATTAGTAATAACATTTGAGCATGTAAACTCTAATACTGTATTTGTTTATAACTATATATGCATACTATTTTTCCAATATAATATGCAATTTAAAAAATAAATGCTATAAGTTTGATGAGATAAAATAGATATAAACAGAATTTTAATATGTAATTTCCACCACTCTGGAATTTTTTTGCCTGCATCCCATTTGGAGACCACTGAGTTTGATCTGGCATCATTTAAATAAGATCCTCTTTCTTCGTTTGATTGTTGCTAAAGGCCAGGAAATATAACGCAGAGGTCCCCCTCCTTGAAGAGCCATAACTAACTTTAGCACAACATCAAAGAAATATTTACTTCTGAAACAGAAGTATTTGCTTTAATACTTTGTATTTGTATTAATGAGATATTATCCACTTTCACTTTGTATATTGAATGAAGTCGGATATTCATTAAAATAAGTCGTGGCAGGCTAACATTTTAATATATTGATAATGTAGTGGAGATTTGCCATTTTTTTTCTTTTTCAAAACAACCATCAGTCTATCCTTTGGCTAACTATTTCTTTCCATTCTATATGATTCTGACAAGGCTATCAATAACAGAACCCTGCCCTTTCTGCTTAGTATAATTTTTGACACAAAGTATACATTCAATAAAGTGATAGTGATTATTACCATTGTTTTGATTATATTTACTTATTAGGATTGGTTGAGATTGCTGTATTTACTCTATAGAATAAACCAGAGGTTGGTAAACTTTTTCTATAAAGGACCAGACAGTCTGTATTTTAGGTTTTGAGTATGTTGTTTTCTCTGTCACAACTACTTAATTCTGCCATTGTACACAGAAACAACCACAGACAATGCACAAATGAATAAGTGTGATTGTGTCCTAATAAAACTTTATTTGTGACAACAAGAGGATTGGATTTGACCTGCTGGCCATAGTTGCCAATCCCTAGAATAAAGCATATATAATTTACTGAATGTCAGTGTGTACAAGCGTAAGTTAGTGAATACATAAATATGCATACATACATATCTGAAACTATTAACAACTTTCAGGTATAAATAAAGTGTTTATTTCCTGGTATTAGGAGTCAATCCTGTCCTCACAGGCTAAGGAATAGAAGAGTAAGTAAAAATACTATTTCTGTCCAATGTCTCCTCCCCATTCACTACTTGGCTCTATATGATTCACTGATCCTGTTTTGTGTTTCGGGAAGATCCACGTAAAACATTGATCCCTCGTAGTTCATGTCCAACTGGTCAATTTCTTTTGCAGAGTTCATAGACTATTGCAGACTCTCATTGCCTTCCTTTTCAAATTGATTCAGGTGAGATCTTTAAAGCATAATTTCTCCATCAACACACTTTTACTGCGCACTTTTTCTATGTCTTTGGAACTACAAAAACACATGTAATAGTTAAACATTGGTGGTTTATTTTAATCCACGGCAAAAATTATTCTGGTGTGTATTTTGGAACTTACTTAGCTACACTAGGACCATGAGTTCTATAAACTTAAGTTAGAATAAAGCTTCTCTTCTGGGTGGAGGGCCTCCTAGTTAAGTCACCTGTTATCAGTAAGAATTTTCCTATGGTTCTATTAAATGTACTCACCTCTTCTCTCACATCTGTCTTCTCAACTTTATCCCTAAATTGCCAAAACAACTTGGATTTTCTTGAGGTCTCTCAGAGTTTTTCTGTTTCATGATTTATTTCCCACAACTTTTGACTTACAGAAGGCAATAGTTTATTATAATTTCTATTTTAATGAAAAATTAAAAAGTTTGTAGCATGCTTTAGTGTTAAAAATATATCCATTATATACACATTTTTTCTCTATTTATCCCTTCTTTCAATGTGTATTCAAGGCATTAATTCCATTACACAAACAAACCTATGTTATAACAATGTTCTTTCAAATGCAAGGCATTTAAAATAAATGCTTAGCAAAGTAGTCTTTCAGTTGTACCAGGAGGAGTAACTATTTAATTTCTGTCATCACAGACCAATCACAGGTCCTATTCCAACTTCATTTATTAATATTGAGTCATGGATGTGGCTCAGAATCCTTTTTCTGCAGTTTTGTCTCCACAAATTGGTATTTAATTGTCTTAAAGAAAAAAAGGTGGATGTATTTTGTAGCTAAAGGTAAACTCATTGATTCTCATCTCAGAAAACAATTACAGGGATGGTTTATTTTCTTGATAGATTGTTTCTCATATGTATTGTCATCAAGAACAGGAACACAAATGAAAGTGTAATTATGACTACTGCATAATGTAGTGTCTGCTTTTCTTTTTTTCTTTTAATTTTATTAATGTCAAATTAAACATTATGTCAAACTGGGAAAATTTCATTAATGGGGGTAGAGATTAAATTGTCTGTGGAAAAGCAATCATGGCAGTGACTTCTTTCTCAATTCTCTGCATTGATGGGCAGAGTTCATTTCCTCTCTCCTTGAACCTGGGTTGGCCCTGTGATTGTTTAACCAGTATAAGGTAGAAGAAGTGACACTCTGCCTGTTCCAAGAGGATTGATGGCTCCCATTTCCTCTTGCTTGGAATGCTTGCTTTGGGGTGAACCAGCTGCCATCTGAGAAGTGAATACCCTGAAGTCGCCTTGCCATCAGGAAGCCACGTCGCTATATCATTTAACCTCTATATATTTTGAATTGAGCAGGTTCTTCTTTCAGATGCTACCTCAAGAAAAAGGAACAAATGACGTTTATTAATTTCATCCTTTTCATTAATTTTTACGGCAAACATTTATTGAGTGTAGTTAGGGATACAAGATAAAGAGACAGTATTTTTGACTAGAAGGAACTGTTACTATGATTACAATCTAGGAGACAAAGAAGTGAACACACAAAAGTAATAAAATGTTATAGGTAATATGACAGGTAAATGTACAATGCACAAGTTGGGACACTAAATAAAGAATGCTAATTCTATCCAAAGGCATGGTACCTAGCATACTTTTTGTATATTATTATTATTATGCTTTATGTATATTATTATTATACATAAACTCTCCATAGATTGAGCACAAATCAAATGCCAGGCATTATGCAAGTGATGTACCACACTACTTCTACCTGAGAAAGGAACAAGAAATTATGAATAATATATTTCTAAAAATCTCCATCCCAAATTGATGATCTCAAAGTAGTAGGCACTTAGGTAATTCAATTTCTCAAGGAGAAGAAATAACTAGATTATAAAATGAGATACCTCCTCAAAAAGTAAGCTCATCAATGATAGTTCCTTAAAGTGTATATGGGAAGAGAGAAATAAAGTTCATCCCTGACCTCTTGATGCTGACATCAGAAAGCACAAGATGGTCTTCCAACAAAAATTCCTATTACTTTTCCTACTGACGGAAATTCATGCTGAATCAGCTTCTCTCATTAAACCATGTCTCATTTTTATAATAACGTGTCACAACTGCTGACAAATGTCTCTGAGCGGAGTCTTTCTTCCCATCAGCCTTACAGAACGGGATAACTTATAACCTCAATTTAATTGTTTGTGAGAAGATGGGAATACTGGAAACACAACTTTCAAAGCACTTGAAAATAATTTGGACCCTTTAGTTTTTGAAATTTCACTTCAAATTTGCTTTCTTCATTTTCTCATAGGTAATATACACATAAATCTGTTGCCTAGCACTTTTGGAAATCTTTTCAAAATTGGAATTAGCAGTTTGAATTCAATGTGTCTTACGCAAATTGCTTCATCTATATGGTTGAGTTCCAAAACCACCACTTTCTAGCTATGCAATCTCATGCCAATCATTTGTCTACCTCACATATGCCTTGTGAAGATCAAAGAATATAATACATTGCCTGTGATTTTCACAGTCCTTTTGGCTGAGACATCCATTCTTTAAATCAATGTTTATAACCTTAGGGTTACTTGAAGGAGCTCTAATCAGTACAGCTTTATATTTTTAATTTATAAAAAAGAGCTTTGCAACAATATAATAATCATTGCTTTTTGGTAAATACCAAAGAAGAAACTTGGGTTATATTTCTTTCTCATCTCGTCTTCTCACAATACTGGCTAACATCAGTTCCTACATACGGCAGGGGTTTCAAGATTCTCTATTAAATAGACATCTAAAAGTTTTAGAGTTGAAAACTATCCTATAGAGAGGAGAAATCAGTGGAGGAAAGATAGAATGAGTGAATGGAGATGAATCTGTTAGGGAGCACGTTAGTTGTAGATGCTACACAAAGAAAAAGTTTCATTGTCAAACAAGTTTGAGAGACAATCAATGATAAGGAAGTCAAATAAATTTATTTCAGGAATTCTCAGAGCCTTAGATATGTTGATGTACATTATGATTCTCCAGTAAAGAGTAGTATTCTCCAAAGTTAATCAGCAAACAATGAACTCTAAGAAAAATGGAAATGTGCTTTATTCATCATTTTTCTCTCTTTTTTTTTGGTGTGGGGAAGATTGGCCTTGAGCTAACATCTATTGCAAATCTTCTTTTTGCTTGAGGAAGATTGTCACTGAGCTAACATCTGTGCCAATCTTCCTCTATTTTGTATGTGGGATGCCACCACAGCATGGCTTGATGAGTGGTGTAGGTCAGTGCCTGGGATCCAAACCTGTGAACCCTGGGCCGCCAAAGTGGAGCATGCAAACTTAAGTACTATGCCACCAGCTTGGCCCCTGTTTTATTCATCATTTTATCCCTAATGCCTTCCATCATATCTGACACATAATTGGCACTCAGTACATAACAGTTGATTGAATCGAAATAATCCCTGAGTTTCAGTTCCTGTGTCACTACTAAGTAGCTTTTTGACTTGAGGTATATAACCTTTTCTCTCTGGCACTATTTCTGTTATATAAGAGACTCTAGAAAACATAAAAGCAAAGCAAGCACAAAACAAACAGAAGCTCTGGAACTGTAGCCAATGGAAGCTGAAAATTTTCATTTAAATTTTCCTGATATTCTGAGATCTAGAGAAGAGTTTCTTAATTAAATGGGCAAATTGTGTTAAATATAGGAAGACAAATACATTTAACTGTCTCAGTGTTTCACCCCATCTGTTTTATTATATCTTACTGCTCTCTGTGTAAGTTATGCTTAATATATAGTTGTCCAGTTTTAATAGACTTCATTCTAGAATGAGTATTGTCTCAAATTTAGTTTTTAAACTCATTCTAAGTAAATTATAAAATTCTATCTACTATGTTCATTACAACTGAAAACAGATGTAGGAAAATATTCTATTTACCGTTTTTGAGTACTTACGTACCAGGTGCTATTCTAAGTATAGTACATTTTGCATAATATCTAATTTTATTTATTTTTACCAATATTGCATGATATACATGTTACTGTATCTATTTTCTTAATGAGAAAAATTTTAAGGATCAGAAACATTAAGAAATTTGTCCAAAGACTTATAGCTAAAAATTACAGAGTTGAGACATAAACTCAGTTTTATCCTGACTCCAAATTACATACCCTTAAATAATAAATAATAGAAATTTAAATACAAAAATAAAAGTTCCTCTCCCTTCCTGCTTCATCATTTTACTCTGAGACATCAAGAGAAAGAATAAACTGTCTTCTATATTAAAACCTATCACCTCATCATAAATTTGTACACTATTCCGGTTTTATTCCCAAAGTGATGGATGAGTTCAAACAGACAGAAGGTGAGGGATTGGAATATTAATATCTGAGGTGTCAAATGATTTTCTCCCTCCTATGACAGTATTGAATGAGATTAAACTAATGTTAGCATCAAGATCTTCAAAATATCATTCATCGTCGGGAAAAGGGAATCAATACTAACATCAGAAACTTCCCTCTTACTTAAAGCTTTAATTCACTTCTATGTGCAACTTATATAACCCCAAACAGCTAATAAATTTCATTTTATAATTCCTTATGAATTTTACATATTCATCCTTTCTTCTTCCATCAGTCACTGCATTCATGCCTTCGTTAGTTCAACAAATATTTATTGAGGACCTACCATGTGCTGGCACTGTTGTAGGCTCTGGATAGATCAGTGAACAAAAAGGCAAGACTCCATGACCTAATGGAGCTCACATCTTGATGTGAGGGGACAGATCATAAATAAAACAACATGTTAATTTTATAGCATATGAAAATGTTAGAAGTACTACGTGGGAAATAAATCAGATGAGGCAGATAAAGAGTTTGGGGAAGGAGGAGTGAATTTTAAATTGAGTATTCAGATAAGGACTTACTGGAAAGTGACATTTGAGCAAATACGTCAAAGAGGTGAAGAAATGAGCCAGTTGGATATCTGAAGCAAAAGCATTCCAGGAGAAGAGAGTGGCACAGTGGCAAGTATGTTGAAAGTATATCAATGAGGAAAAGAGTACTAGAGAAACGGAACAGCCATCATAGCTGCAGTGCAAAAGTCACCATAAATACAGTGGGAGAGATAGCTTTACTTCTCGTCTTGATTTGGCTGGGCTTCTGACTTCTTTGACCAACAGAACATGTTGGAAACAATGCTCTATGACGTCCGAGGTGAGGTCATAGAAGGCGTGCAACTTCCACCATTCTCTTGGGATCCTCACTCTAAAGAAAGACAACTGCTACATAAGAAATCAAAGCTACATAATGACCCTGAGGTTGCTGTATTGGGGCGACTACACAGAAAGTGAGACAGAGAGGTGCCTGAGGAGCCCCAGCTGTCCAGGCTCCAGAAGACTGTGTCATCCCAGCTAAGGCACCAAACCTATGAGGAAGCCTTCAAGAGTATGTGAGCCCCGGCCTCCATCTGAGAGAAGTTTCCACATGAGAAACTTCAGGCCAAAACAACCCAGCTGAGCCTACTCGGGTCCCAGGACCTTGAAAGGCAATAATACATGATTATTATTTTTTTTAAGTCTCTCTGCTTTGGAATTGTTTGTTACACACAACTGCATAAGTGAAATCAGTAGCCTTTTGAGTATTTTAATCAAATGTATCATATAATATTATTTGTATTTTTACAGGATTTCTTTGGCTTTGTGGTGGAGTGGGGGGCAAGCAAGAATCAAAGAGACTATTTTAACAATCCGGGCAAAAGATGTTAGTGACTTGGACCAGAATGGTAGCAGTTAGAGTACTGCAAAGAAGTGCTTAAGTGTATTTTAAAGGTCCAGTAAGCAGTTTTACCTGATAGATTTGATATGGGATATAAGACAAAGGGTTGAATAAAGATGTCTCCAAGATTTTTGAGCATCTGGCGGAATGTAGCTCTCATTTACCGAGTTGTGGGAAGAATCTGGGAGGAGCTGGTTTGAAGGTGAAAAATCAGGACCTGAGTGTTGGATTTGTTAAGTTTTACATGTCTATTTGACATGCAAGTATAGAAGGCAAGGAAGTAGATATATATATGTATGTGTGTAGCATTCCTAGGAGAGGTCCTCCTTGGAGATATAAATGTAGGAGTTTCCAGCATATAGAAAATATTGAGCCATGAAACTTAATGAAAGCACAAAAGGAGAAAAGAAAGACCAAGAATTCAGAGCACTTCAATTTTAAGAGGGCAGGAGGATGAGGTAGGGCCAGCAGGGTGTTCACGAGAAAAGGGCCAAAGAGTCAGGAGAAAAATTTGGAGAGGGTGGTGTCCGAGGAAGCCAAGTGGAAATCTTGCCAGTACATGAACCAAGACTGGCATTCGTAATGAAACTGAATAGCCAGAAAACAGCGTAGAGATTTAAAATCTATTTTGTCTTCATTCATATAACCGTGACAACCAATACTGGCATCTTGAGTCCATTCTATGTTCAAGTGCTGGTAAAACTTTAGCAAATGTTCTCAATTGGGAGTACAATTTCAGAAATTGGTGGAGGATTGGCAAGAGTTTAGACCATTAGGATGATATCAAATTATAACAAATAAGAGGAAAGGTTGGGATAGGATATTTTGGCTTCTCCTCTGTTTGTTGAGTGTCAGGGGGCACCCACCACCGTAGTATCTCTTCTGCTTTAAGTGGGGACTTCCCTGATACTGAGGCTGTATCAATCTTGACTGTTCATATTGACAGCTTAAATGGTCATTAGTGATACCATATTTGTTTCATATGTTACATGTGGTCACATACTTAAATATATAAATGTAAACATATAAATTTATGTTAAATATATAAATTAGTCCAACCATCCTATAAAGTGGACTTTACTTTTTCAAGAGGCACAATTAAGCTTCACTTTGCTGATTTTTTCTGCTATATTTCCTTATGTGTTTATTTTAATCAAAACACAGATGTCACAGTCCTGTTACCTTACCCCTTAAGAGTGCTTATGTTAAATAAAATGTAAAATCTCAAAAAATAATGCACAATAATACACACGTACAACTAGTTTTGTAAATAAAAGTTTGAAATGAGCTCCCCAAGGATTGTATTTGCTGTTAAATATTCCCTTTTCAAATGAACACATAATTAATATGCCTCATGGTTAGAACGTAAAACCTACTTCATAACACAAAGAACTGGGGAATTAAAACCATTCTTTTCTTTTTCCAATGTATGAAAGATAAATTTAAAATTCTATGTTTTACTCATTATTAGAGATTTATAATACATACGATGCATCGTAAAGCCAATTATCTAAGAGAAGTTTTAGGTTCACAGCAAAATTGAGATGAAGTTATAGACATCTCTCACATACCTGCTGCCCCGACACATGCACAGCCTCCTCCTTATTAAATCCCCTGCCAGATGGGTACGTTTGTTACAATTAATGAACCTACACTGACACGTCATCATCACCTGAAGTCTATAGCTTACCTTAGGGTTCACTCTTGGCATTGTATTTGGTCTTGGACAAGTGCATAATGACATGTATCTATCATTACAGTATCATACAGAGTATTTTCACTCCCTAAAAATCCTCTGTACTCTGCTCGTTCATGTCCTTCAATTTTAAAGGATAATTTCACAAGGTTAAGAATTCTAGTTTGGAGTGTTATTTTTTTTTTCTCAACACTAAATATTCCGCTTCACTCGCTTCTTGCTTGCATAGTTTCTGAGAAGTCAGATGTAATTTTTATCTTTGCTACTGTGTAGGTAAGCTGTTTTTTTCCTCTGGCTTCTTTCAAGAATTTTTCTTTAACTTTGGTTTTCTGTAGCTTGAATATGACGTGCCTAGTGGTAGTTTTTTGGATAGTTATTCTGCTTGGTGTTCTCTGAGCTTCTTGGATCTATGGTTTGGTGTCTGACATTAATTTGGGGAAATTCTTAGTCATTGTTACTGCAAATATTTCTTCTGTTTCTTTCTCTCTTTCTTCTCCTGGTATTCCCATTACAGATAAGTTAAACTTTTTGTAGAGTCCCACAGTTCTTGGATATTCTATATATAGAGATATATTTTTTTCTCTTTGTTTTCCAGCTTTGGAAGTTTCTATTGGGATATCCTTAAGCTCAGGGATTCTTTCCTCAGCCATGTCCAATCTACTAATGAGCCCGTCAAAGGCATTTTCATTCCTGTTATAGTGTTTTTGACCTCTAGCATTTCTTTTTGGTTCTTTACTCGGATTTCCATCTCTTTGCTTATGTTGCCCATCTGTTCTTGCATAATGTCTACTTTATCCTTTAGATTTCTTAGCATATGATTCATAATTGTTTTAAATTCTCAGTCTCATAATTCAACATCCATGATGTATGTGAGTCTGGTTCTGATGCCAGCTCCATCTCTTCAAATTGTCGTTTCTGCCTTTTGGTATGGCTTGTAATTTTTTCTTGGTAGTGGCCATGATGTACCAGGTAAAAGGAACTGCTATAAATAGGCGCTGGGGGGGGGGGGGGGGGGGGGGGGGGGGGGGGGGGGGGTTGAGGGGAAGTGTTCTGTATTTCTATGATTCAGTCTCAGTCTTTTATTGAACCTGTGCCCCTGGACTGTGAACATCATGTGTGCTTCTCAGTTGTTGTCCTCGCCCCATCCTCCACTTGGGACAGGATGGCTAGAGTGACCCAGAGTTGGGTATTTCCTTTCTTCCACATACAAGGCTAGAGCAGGTTGGAGGTGAGTATCTCCTTTCCTCCGTATATGAGCCTACAGTGGCTGAAGTTGGGTATTTTCCTTTCCCCAGATTGGTTAGGCTCTTAAAATCCCCAATAGTTTAGACTCTGGTAAAATAGTTTCTCTTGAGAGCAGACCATGTTAAGAAGAAAAGAATGCTCTGGAGTATTTCAAAATGGTTCCTTTTCCTCTCCCTCTGCCAGAAGCATGAGGGCATTATTTTTCTATTTACTGTGAGTAAATAGAAAATCTAATTGAAGTCCTATAGGAAAAACTCAGACATGTGTGGAGGCCCCTCATTGACTGGGTCCCCTGGAGTTTTTAACTCTGAGAGTCATCCACACCGAGCCTCCAACAATTCATCAATTACGGTTCAGGTTTTCCTATCCTGGCACTGGTTCCTGTGGAGGTTTCTGCTTGTGGGTTTCTTCTGAGGTAAATTGTGATTCTCTGCATTTACTCGGTGTCTCTCCAATTTGGGAGGCAGTAGTTTGCCCCATGGCCTCTCCTCTCTTAGGATCTAAAAAGAGTTGTTGATTTTTCAGTTTGTTCAGCTTTTTACTTCTTGTTAGGATAAAGTGATGACAAGTTCCAAGCTCCTTACATGCCAGACCAGAAAAAAGGAAGTCTTCTAATTATTACTTTACTAAGGATTTGCATTATTACCAGAAAATTCAAACAAATTTTTATGTTTATAGGAAACTTATATATCTTAGATAAAATGCATGTTTATATACTTTGCCCACATTTCTACTATATTTCCTTTTCTTATTGATTTGTAGGAGCTCTTATAGAGAGGATAGTAATCTTTTAGTTTTTACATATGTTGCACGTATTTTCCTTCATATGGCTGTCCTTCAGGTTCAAACATTAGTATGTTTTAACATTAATTATGCTCTCTTTCTGCATGTGGTAAATATAGTAGTATATTACATATGGTAGCATAGAGTTAATGCAGTAGAAAAATATTTCACTTCTTTTCCTTTAGGTTAGAAAATTAGGAAGACGTTCTTCACCCAATTTTACATTTTCTTAAAGTGATCCACACACACAGAGAGATGTGAGTTTGTGTATATATGTATATATGTGTCTTCCATATTCCATATTTGGAACTTATTTGTGTATGAGTAGTAGTATGAGTTGGAGACCCACCCTTTTCTCAGCAATGCTTTGAAAGTCTTGCATTTTATTTATTATTATTATTTTTTTTAAGATTGGCACCTGAGCTAACATCTGTTGCCAATCTTTTTTTTCCTCTTCTTCTTCTTCTCCCCAAAAGCCCCTAGTACATAATTGTATGTTCTAGTTGTGAGCACCTCTGGTTGTGCTTTAGGGGATGCCGCCTCAGCATGGCTTGATGAGTGGTGCCATGTCCACACCCAGGATCTGAACCAGTGAAGCTCTGGGCCGCAGAAGCAGAGCATGTGAACTTAACCACTCGACCACTCAGGGACCAGGCTGAATTGGAGACCCCTTTTGTACTGAGGAGCATAGT